TAGAATCGCCACAAACAATTTCATCGGATTATGATGATAAAGAATGCGATGATCATAAAGAATGTGATGTGCCTGTACATCCTATTCGTCGTGCTGAATCATGTCCGATTCTTGAAAATGAATTACGTCGAAATTGAAAATTCTATAATTTTTTCTAATAAATTTAAATAATTTTTTTTATAACAATCAATGTTTATTCAATATAAAATTGGCGATACTTTGAGATTTGAAAAACAAATTACTCTACTTTTACTTTTGCAAGAATCGAATTACACTAATTCAAAATCAAAGCAAAAATGAATAATAACGATCAACAACAAAAAATTTTTTACATTTCCGATAACGATGATGAAGAAGATGTTTATAATAACATCTATAACCTTGCGTACTATGATGATTTATTCTGGGATGATGATTTTGATGATGATGATTATAATGGCGAAATTGAAGAATTTCGCGATTATTCATATGATGATTATCCAGAAATAAATGATCCATCAATGAATAATGAAATTGATTGTTCGCAATGTTTGAATGTAAATTTTTCTGATTTAAATTTATCGAAATGCGTTAATCAAGAAGAACATATCTATCCTATTCGACGAGTTCAATCTTGTCCAATTTTAAATAATGAACTACGTCGAAATGAATCCGATAATGATGATGTTGATGATTATTATTATCCTGTTCATCATGTTAACTACATGGAACAGCAACCAGAAAACGAAACAGATGATGTATTAGATTATTATCCTGTTCATCATGTAAACTATTACATGGAACAACATCACGTAATCGAATCAGATGATGTTGATTATAGGAATGAATAATCCTTTTTTTACTCAAAAAATTATAAACAAAATTTATTATTTTTAAATAAAATTGAAACAATTTTTTCAATTCAATTATCAATTTTTTTTGTTACAAATTTTATGAACGGAACTGCTCAAAGTTCTATCCTGCTCGGTAAAGGTTGATGAAGAGTATATAAAGCGCTGCTCACAATCTAATCACATTATAAAAATATTTGACTTGAAACAGTCAAAATAACTGAAAAAATGAAAATTACTAATGCCAAATTTATGTGTGGAATTCTCTGGACGGAAGGTGGGCTGTCTTTGTTATCTCATCAATACTTTATTCGAAGAATTGTCAATAAGCCACGAGTTCGAAGTATACCACGAAATTTGGAGATTGTGCGGATCAAATCGCTGAACTACCAGATAAAAATCGAAATTTTAAACCTTGACGATTAATTTTAATTTTGATTGTAAATTTATTTATTTCAATTTTTTTTTCTTGTTACAATTTTTCATTTTATAACAATAAATGTTTATTTCAATATAAATAACAAATATAAAATTTGACATTTTCATTCATTCTTTGGCACTGTATACGCACGTTACTGAATTCAGCCAATGTTCATCATTATTACTGGGCTGAAACAATGGTTACTGGTTATTTGTCTTGTCTACATCTGGATACGTGATGATGGTTTATCTCCGTATGAAAAATTCTTCAATAAGAAACCAATGTCATTTATGTGTGTTTGTGATTATCATCTAAATCAATCGAATGATGGTGATAATGGAAAACATTTTACCGTTCATCATGATGATAATCAACAGGAATCGGATGATGTTGATCATTACGTACCGATTCGGCGCCATAGTGTATAAAAAAAAGTAATTTTACTTTGATTATTCAATAGAATGATTAAGAAAAAAAAATAACCTAATTATCATAATTATCATGTGTCCAGAGTTGAGAAAGGAAGTTTTTATCGGTAATCACATCAAAAATATCAATCGAATGATAAGTGTGTTATAAAAAAAAAATAATTAATAAAAATTTTATGTTTTTAAAAATTCAATAATTTTTTTATTTGTTTGTTTCTTGCAAAAAAAAACAACAATCAACAATCAATGCTGATTCTGTATAAAAATTGGTAATATTTTTTTCCATTCCAATCACTTTTTGCCACAATACCAGTTTGCAATTAATTTCTTCTTGATCAAAAATCAAAAAAAAATCGAATCCATAAAAATCCATAAAATGAGCGAACCGAATGAAAAAATTTTTTACATTCCGGATGAGGATTATGAAGATGATCCAAGTACGCTCGCATATTATGATGATTCGTACTTTTTTGATGATTACGAGGCATACTGGGATGTTGATGATGAAGAAGATGAGGAATGGGTATATTGCAATGGGAATGATTTAACTGAATCATTCGAAATTGTGGACCCAGCAACTATTATGATGGATGAACAACAAACAACAAGTTCATCAAACAATAATGAAAGCAACAATCTTCGAGATCAAGAATCAGATGCTAATGCTAATGCTAATGATGATGATGAACATAATTTCCCCGTATATCACGCTAATTTATCCGATAATCAAGAAGAATCGGATAATGATGATAATGATGAATATTTTCCTATTCATCATGCTAATTTGGCTGAAAATACCAATGATGATCAGGAAGAATCAAACGACGAAGATGACGACATGAATCAACACTATCATTACCTACCAATTCGTCGTCATAGTATTTAAGATGAATTAATACAAATATAAATCGTAAAAGCTTTTCCTAATATATGTCCTCGTCCGAGATTTAGATTATTTTTTCTCATTATTTAATGTTTCTTTTTTCATCATTTTAAATAAATTTTTCTATTCATATTGTTTTTTATTATTGATAAAATAATATCCACTATAGTCAAAAATTAAGTTAATTAAAAAAATTAAAAATTAAATTAAGTTAAGCTTTATTGATTGATTGATTTATATAGTCAAAAATTCTCTCACTAAATATTGAATCGTTTAAGAACAAAACAACAAAATGAATCTGTCATATGATATAAATTCAACCGTACAAGTATAGAACAAGTGCAAAATTATCATTTTCCGGCTCTACTACGGAATCTACTATTATTATCTTGCATATTATGAAATTTTTTATAATAATAATAATATGTAGCATGTTCACTCATCCTTTTCCGCCACGTGCTTTCTAGAATTTTACACACATACATATACTTACATGAACACACAACAAATTGATTCAAATCCAAAATTATCATTATTTACCCTATGCGTCGTCATAGCATTTAAAAATAGATTAGTATAATCCATTAGTATAAAAGCTCTTATTCTATGTCGTAAATCCGGATTGCAGAATATTTTTCTCTTTCATTTAATGTTTAGCTTTTTACTTATTTTTTAAATAAAATTTTCTTTCTATTTTTAATTTTGAATTTGTAATTTGATTGAAGTTTTTTTCCCAT